TTTTCCAGGAGATCATACACAAGCTCAAAGTCCCACTACCTATCTCTATTATTCACTACCAGAGAGAGATTTTTATTCCGTATTTCATTACTGCATAATGTTTAAGTGGTTAGTATTCTGAAAAAGTTAAGCAAAGTTTAAGTGCATTTCCACAGGTAAATTTTTACTAACCAAATGCCTTACAATTCCTTTTAAAAAATTGAGTTTAGTTTTCCAACAATATAGAAGGACACTAGTGGAAACGTCAGTTATTTGTGGGGAATCCGAAACTCAGAGATTTTTATTACTTATCAATGGTAGTTTATACTGCTAGGCATGTGAGGAATGTACCACAGAAAGTGATAGATGCTGCAAGCCAGTGTTCATGCAAATGAAAAACCATTTGTCTACTTTGATGGTTAGCTTTAATTGTCAACTTAATACAATCTAGAATTATCTGGGAAGAGAATCTCAATCAGGGATTGTTTTCTTTGGGCTGGCCTGGAGCATGTATGTGGGAGATTGCCTTAAGTCAATTGATGTTAAAAAACCCAGCCCACTGTGGGCAACACTATTCTGTTGGCAGGGGTTCCTGAGCTGTGTAAGAGTGAGCTGAGCACAAGGAAGTAAGTGAGCATGTCTGCATTTATTTATTTCTACTCTTGACTGTGGATGTGACGTGACCAGCTGCTTCAAGTTCCCGCAATCGTGACTTCCTCCACAGTGATGACTTAAAGTCGAATGACAAGTTAACATAAACCCTTCTCTCTGAAGTTGCCTTTTGCCATGGTGTTTTACCACAGCAACAGTAATGAACCCAGAGTGTCTACATATCACTATATAATGTTTGCTAAAGACCAGCATCACTGAACATGCTTGTGTGTATGCGTGTATATGTGCGGAGATGTATATGTGGAGGTCAGAGGTCTACCTTAGGTATTATTCCTCCAGAACAATGCATCTTGTTATTTGAGTCTTTCATTGGCCTGAAACTCGCTGAGTAGGCTAGTCTGTCTGTCTGTCTGGCAAGTTCCAGGGATCTGCCTGTCTCTGCCTCCCTAATGCTGACATTATAAACACGCCACCATACCTGGCTCTTTAACACAATTTCTAGGCACCTAACTGATGTCCTCATGCTGTGCAGCAAACACTTTACCGACTGAGCCATCTACTCGGCCCTCAAATGAAACATTTGAGCCATCTTTCCAAGGCCAGAGGAAAAGTACACTTTTCTTCAATTAAAAACTATGCATATATTTTCAATGAGAATTTCCTTCAAATTTTAGATCTATTTTAGGGAAAATTTAGATTTTTAGAAAAAGTCATCAGTTTTTCTCTGTAACATCCAAACAGGAAGAAAGTAAGTTGGGAGGAATGTCTTATTTAACTCTAAATGTCTGTGACAGTTGGAATCGTCTCACAGAACGCTCAAGCGGCTGTTAATGTTTTCACCTCCCCGGTGAGAAAGCCACATGAAGGTCTTGAAACTGACTAGTTCATGGGTTCCACTTCCTGTTATGAGGGGGAAAAATGTGTCTTAGACTCAGTAGAGTTCTCAAAGGTTGTTTTCACTCCTTTCCGTAGAACACTTGGGGTTTCAAAGGCGCGTATATCAAGCGAAACCGAAACACTCGGTAATTTGTTTTTTTCTCTAATGTGAAGCCCGTTTCTGGCCAGGGGAAAACACTGAGCAGTTAGTAAGTTTGCTTGATTGGGGGGACTATCAGAATAGGCTTGAATCCCAAGGAGCTTGCTTGGAGCGATGGAACACTTTGCCGGGGTGGGATGGGGCTGTGTTGACCTGATGTGGACTCTTAACTCTCAACCCAGGCTAGGGGCAAGAATCCAGCTGTAGATCTAAGGCTGGTCTTGGGAGAAATGAAGACACATTTTGATTTGGGGATTTCCCTGGAAACCACTGTAGGCTTGATGACGGAGCTGAAGAGCTAGCAGGGTCACTGGGAGCCAACAAGCTATGACTGGAGACACCCAGTTCCCTGTTCCATGGGTGAGAAGTCAAGGAATGAAAGTCACCTCTGTACTTCCCTTCCCTGACTCCACAGCTGCCCCCTGGGCATTGCCTCCTATTTTCTTACTCTTCTTTTTCTTTTTTTTTAAGCTTCTGTTGTTGTTTGATGTAGTTTCATCTTGTTTACCTGGGGCTCCAGCCTTCTAGGAATAAGCTTGGATACATACCCCTGCTTTCTCTGCTGCTCTCAGTCACTTCATTTGCTCCTGGGGGTCCCAGATTTCCCAAACCTTACTGACTATCAAACTTTTACTCTCACTGTCCTTAGCCCCAGCTCTCATTTTGGACAATATTACATAATCAGTAGATGCTAATGGGGTTTACTGATCTCAGGATACTGCCATAAATAAAAAAGAAACAAAGAAAGCCCAGAGACCAAGGAATAGTAGGGATCTTAGGCCAAGAAGTTGGCAGTGTGGGAAATATTAGGGAAAGGGAGGGGAGATGAGCCCCTTAACATGATAATATACTTAGACTTAATTAGCATGCCAAGGTTAACACACGTTGAGTTTGCTTAAATATTGTCCTCAAAGAGATCAATCAATGATCTAAGGGAAGAAAGGATGTTCATAAAATAAAAAGCCAGTTCAGGATTGCACTCGTTTTGTATCCCTGAAGAAACACGATTTAACCTTAACTCCATCCTCCCTGCTGAGGGAAACACAAGTCACGCTTATGCTAAAATGATGAGTCTTATTTATTGTGTTTGCTTATCTTTGCATATCTCCATGATACACTCATATGGGATTATTCACAAAAACACGATTTTTAGTTATCAGAATATTTTCACAGATAAATCTTGGCAGATCTTGAGATTTATGGGATTAGAACTCATATCACACACACACACACACACACACATACACACACACACACACACACACACACACACACACACACACACACTTATATCTGTGTTGTTCCATAGTCCATTCTGCCCTGAGTCATGTGAGACTCCTCCTGTCTCAAACTCTTGAGTATTTCTGGGAACTATCTTGATTTTACAAATGAGGAAATAGGCTTAGAGTGAGCTTCCTTGGGTAATATAGCTCCTTGTTAATTCTGGGCTTGTGGCTTTATCTTCCCTTGCCAAACATACAACAGCATCACATGCACCATTCATCAGTAGCTGGAGATGTGCACTACTAGCTAGATGCATCTGGAGTACCACCAAATTCATGAGATTACCTACCAACTTCTACAGCTACTTTTAAGTTTAAATGTCGAATAATAACTCTGCTTGTTAATAAAAGTGAAAATTATCTAAACCTGAAGAATTTCAGCTTAGATGCTGTAGAAAAAAAATGAAAAAATTTTAAAGTTAAAGTTTTCTGTAATATTTATACACACACACATACACACACACACATACACACACACACAGAGACAGAGAGACAGAGAGAGAGACAGACAGACACATTTGCAAACATATTTTTTCCTTGGGTTTCCCAGTTTTGTTTGGAATCCAATTTCACACTACTTGGTGAAAATGTGTTGTGGAAAATGTGTGTATTTTATATAAATTGTCATGTCTGATTTGAATATTTGAATATTTATCTTCTATAAAACATGTGAGAAATATTCAGAGATAAAGATAGAGTAAGATATGTAAATTTGGCTGTGAATAAGAAATTCCAGATCAGGAGGCTTTAGAGTCCCTGAGGTCACACAAGAAGAGAAAAGGAATTTCTTTCCCAAGGCTATTTGATTCCTGTGCTGTAGGTAGAACCCTGTGTATTAGCAGGAAATTAGTCTGAGGTGAGCATTTAACAGCTTGAGATGGAAACAATTATTCTCCGGTTTTCTTTAAATAATCAATATTATTTAGAAATCAAGAGAGGAAAGAGATGTCTCTTCTCTCACAAGAAATGTGTAGGTAAAGTATTTCATGATTTTCTAAAAGTTCTTCAAGCCCGGCTCCCCCACTAACCCAAGTAGTAGAGAGAGTTGCTTGTGGGAGGAAACAGGAAGCATTACAGATAAATGCCCTGTTACCTTTTTCCAGGTTCAGCTCAATGTACATCGATTCTAATTAGCACATTTTGTGCCTCAGCTCGTAGCTCCCCTTGAGCTCTGCTTGGAGAGTTTCTTTCTTTCTTTCTTTTTTTTTAGAATCCACCCCGCTCATAAACACTGCCGCCCCCTCCCTCCTTCTCTCTTTACAAATGTTACAACACAATCAGAAATTGCCTCTTTTCTTTCCTTCCTGCATTTCCAGCAGGTTCCCCTGCGTCAGAAGCCGAGGAAGAAAACTCAAGGTAATTAGATCCCTTTTGTTCCTTTATCCCTTTCTTGTGTGTGTGTGGATTTTTTTTTTCCCTCTTTCTCCTGGATGCCTTCTTGGGCAGGGGATCAGATTCTTGTGTGTCTGAGTTTAATATCAGGAGATGGATGGCAGATTAAATTTTGGGCTTGCTTTTGGACTGATTTTAAGAAAGGATGACACGCTGTTCATTCGGACCTGCTGTCCCTCATGCTTTGTCCACAGAGCTTAGAGAGCTGGCACTGAGTCAGGAAGTCCCTGGGGTCCTAGGTGGGCTTTAACCCTTCTGTGTGTGTTGCGTAACTGCCACTGTTACTGTGGGAAGGACCCATGTGTCTGCCACAATGTGCCTGCCAGCTCCGAGAGTCTACGTTTTCAACTTAATCTTTTTGACTAAGGTTTTCAGACCCATGCTTGCATAGAAGTCTCACTGCCTCTTTGCCCGGGTTTTCTAGGCACCGAATGAATGTTTAAAAATAGAACAGATGCATGGATCTCTCTCTCTCTCTCTCTCTCTCTCTCTCTCTCTCTCTCTCTCTCTCTCCACCCATCCATCCTTCTCTTTCTTTCTTTCTTTCTTTCTTTCTTTCTTTCTTTCTTTCTTTCTTTCTTTCTTTCTTTCTTTTTTTACATTCACTTTGTATGAATGAAAACATCTAACTAACCCTTGCCGTACAAACAACTGAAAGTTGCCTTTTATCTTGTCACCTGAGTCCGGGTCACACTCACCTGTTCGTATAACTGTTGCAGGATTTTTCACCATGAGTCGGAGGAGGATATCCTGCAAAGATCTGGGCCACGCTGACTGCCAGGGTTGGCTGTACAAGAAAAAGGAAAAGGGGACTTTCCTAAGCACCAAATGGAAAAAGTTCTGGGTGGTGCTGAAGGGGTCATCGCTCTACTGGTATAGCAATCAAATGGTGAGTGGTCCCTCCCTCCTCCTGCCCCAGCCTGTTTACCAAAAAGTGGTTTCTAGAGTACAGAGCAGGTAATCCCAGTGGGGAAAGTTGATTCTGATCTCCGGGAGTTGGAGCATAGCAAAGCAGCAGATTTGATAGAGGACTCATTTCTGCTCCAGGAACTATGTAGGTTAGTGAGCTGTGCCGCTGGGAGGAGAAGCCATCTGGCTTTACTATTCTGATTGGAGAGGAAGGGAAAGGGATCCCAATTATATCCTTGCTTAAGGAGGGAGCCGTTTGGTTCTACTGATGTTATTATTCTGTGGGGTCCTAATGGTTCCAGCATCTGTCTGGATATTGTTTGCCGTGGGAACTTTGCATTGCGAAGGTGCTGTTAAAAAGGGACTCAGCATTGGCCTCTGCTAAGAGCACAAATCCATGGGTTCAGAGACACAGTATCCAACCCTTCTCCCACTGTCTCCTCCTGGTCTTTGCGAGGTGGGTTGGTTTAGGATTGCTCATCCCTATGCCAGCCTTGTGTAGGGACTGGTGACGTTGGTCCATGATGATATTAAATAAGTGCTGTGAAAACAATGCTCACAGAGGTAGTCGCAGAATTTGTCCTTTGATGGCCACACACTACTGTGGTCAGCTTCATGGTTTGACTGTTGAAAAAGAGCTGGAAAGGAAGTTATTGTGTTTGTCTTTTGTGACTGGAGATATCTCGAGAGGGACATCAGTGTTGTTGAAAATAATCTGCAGAGCTTTGCAGGTAGATATTTTGTTGCTGACCCCGGGGAAATGGGAATCCACTGCAGGTTTGGGAAGAACTGGGGTCTCTTTGTGATTCAAGAAGACCAATAGAGAAGGCTTGTTTACTCATTTAAAGGAACAGTACTAACTTAAGCCAACCTGGGACTTAAACACAGCTTCCTTCTTAAGGGGAATTAAGGTTGATATAAGTATTTCATGTTTTCTGTTATTTTATTTTTAATTTTTAAATTGTATTTATTTATTAGTGTGTGTGTGTGTGTGTGTGTGTGTGTGTGTGTGTGTGTGTGTGTGTGTTGGGTATAGACGTGTCACCACTCATGTGTGGATGTCAGAGGACAATTTACAAGAGGCAGTTGTTTCTTTCCACCATGTGGGTCCCTTGGTTCTAACTCAAGTGGTCAGCCGTGGCAACCAGCTGAGCCATGTCTCCAGCATTCATTTCCTAATTTTTTAGGCTATGGCATTTTGGTCGTTATCACAAGTAATTGTCACTTGCATCTTTCTTAAGATGAGCTGATCTGAGTTACCCTATAAACAGCCCCGAGGGATTTCTTGAGCCTGTAGGACAGATTGAGTGTTGTTGGAACATGATGCATCTATGGGCTAGAACAGGGCTCAGGATTAAGCGGTTAATTCATCTCATCATTTGGCGAGAAGGCACTGTCCCTTTCTTAGTAGAATGTGAAAGAAGTCCTCCCCGGAGCCATCCAATTGCAACTTGGCTCATTTGGCTTCCCCAGCTTCTGTTTCTCTTAGGAGAGTGGCTCCAGTACTTTTAGGCATCAGACCTTCCTAATTTTAGGCATCAGGAATCTCACCCTTCTGCATGGAGCAACCGTGTTGGCTTGGACTAGAGAGAGGAAAAGATGGAATCTTAGATGCCTATGGGCTCCCCATCCCTGTGTGCTTTCATCGGACGCAGAAAGCAAGCTTCAGGATGCTGGCCCTGTGTTTTAGAACATTCAATTAGCAGCATCAGTTTGAGAATAAGCTTGGTTGTCCAGGGAAGTGGAGGGGGTTATTCATGGTATACAAAAGGAAGAGTCTTCCATGGAGGACTTCTCAAGTTCTTTTGTTTTCTCTTTCCCATCCTTGTTCCTGACATCTTAATTGTATATTTGTTGTGGGTAGACCTCAATGAAGATTTAATTACCAGTCATATTCCTGCTGTCTGTGTTAATACCAACTGCGAAGTAACAGTCAAACACGCCCTCACAGAAAATATGCGCTTACTGTCTCTACTTTAAGAATTTAGATTTAATAGCTAAGGCACTTAAAAGTTGACTGATTTCTTCTCCTTTCTCAGTTCCTTATACTTCTTGGAGGGCCATCCCTGTTCTTTGTGACTTTGCATATAGCAGGATAGCCTATCCCATGGAACATCTGCCATATGCCAAGGAATGTTCTAGGTACTCCGCACACAGGCTCTTACCTATTCTTCAGAACAACCTCTAGCTGGCTATATTGGCAGAGGCTTATCATCTTAGCTACTCAGGAGGATGAGGCAGGAGGATTGCAAGTTCAAAGCCTGCCTGGGCTATAGAGTGAGTTAAAGGATAGTCTTGTCAACTTGGTAAGTCACTGTCTCAAAATGAAAAAGAAACAGAAAAAGGTTGGGGATATAGCTCGGTGGTAGAGTGCTTGCCTAACATAAGTGAGGTCCAGGGTTCAATCTCTGCAGGGAGATAGAGACAGAGACATAGGCAGAGACAGACAGAGATACAGAGTCTCAGACCTCTAAGGCATGCTTTAAAAGTTGGTAAGATTAAGACCCAGTGTAAACTGCCCAAGTCATGTGTGAAGGAAGTGGACAAAAAGTGCTTCCTGTCCAGGCCTCTTTGATTTCTAAGTGCATACTGATGATGACATGTTACCCTGAATCTTCCTGGGGAACCAGATAAATGATATCATTATGTTGCCTTGTTTCCAGAAAGAGGCTGAGAGAACATCTCTAGAAGTGGCAATTCTGCTGTGAACATATGAGCTATCCTATTAGACCCCTTTGCCCATCCCTGTTGCTGTCAGTATTGCCCAAGAACTTTGCCATCCTCTCCTCTGTGCTTGTCTGTTGGTACCCAGCCATCAGCGAATGGCTCACCTCCTTTCTGCTCACATTGCTTCTCCCAACACCACTACCCAGACCTCCTTAGGAAAGATTTTCACATAGCATTTCATTGGTTTGGAGTGTGTCAGAGCATGTGTAGCTTTACACCACTTCTTACAACACCACATATAAGCCACAAAAATCTCAGCTAGTGAAAAAAAAAACTGGAATTACACTCTACCCTCACTTTCCTGTGCCCTTAGGGTAAAGTTCAAACCCACTCCCTGGCTCAAGGTATCACCTTAACTGGTACCCTTTCTTCCTTCTTAGTACTTCCAGTCTTAACCCAGCCTAAGCCTTAGCGATGGAACTTTTGATTCCTATTGATGTGTTCCGGGTCTATGTACACCTTTATCTATAGAGAGTCCCTGCTCAGAAACGCTTGTCTCTGTTCCCAGAAGCCTTTCTCCTGCCCAGGATCATCTAGCCTATCCCTCTTCTTAAGAGTCCCATTTTAATTTGATACACACCTTCTATGTGTACTTACCATATCTTCTGACCTGAACTTAGCTACTCCATCTTCTTCCTTTTGTATTATTTTATAATCATTTGATTGTCACACATATCCTTCTTTGTGAATGTGTGTCAGACTCCCATCTTTCATAATTGATCATTATGTCTACATAGCAAGATCCTGGGCTTATATCTTTAGTACTTAAGTGTCTGGTGTTTAATAAGTACTTGATTAATATTTGTTGATTTCTCAAGTAAGTGGGACTGAGGAATCACTGATGCTTGCTTTGCCTAGGGGGTTCTGAGAAATGAGATCTCATTCAAGTATTTTTCTTGACAGGAAATAATTTCCCAGGAATGGGATTTCCACTTCTATGTTTAAAAAATACAATTAAATTTGGGGTTTACTAGAAAGGATCCCCATACAGTAATATATCCCACAAAACTATTCCAATTCTTGCTTAACACCTTCTTTGAAGCTTTCAGGAGTAGAAGATGGGGGTAGGGTGAACATCTGAGTCAGAGGTCTAATGCAAACAAAGGCGGGATAGTGTGAGTGGAACCACCACAGTACTGTAGACATGACGTCTAATTTTCATATAACCACCCAACATTGATTTTATTACTCCTATTCTTCAAGTTAGTTTACTGAAAGCCAAGAGCTGAAGGAACAGGCTCAGAGCCTCTGAAAAAGTCAATGGCAGAGTTGGGATTAACACAGATATTCCAACCCCAGAGCCAGGATCTTTTCTGTAGACCATGTGACTCTTCCATTGACAGGTGACCTGGGCCTAGTCAATAGGGAACTCAGACACACTGTTCACAAATAGGTAGGACTACCAGAGAGGCAGGGGCTAAAGAAGATTCCATACTGGCAGGGAAACAGGTGAGTGATAATAGGAACATAGCATCAGTCAACTGTGAAGGAGTGCATGGCCAGAAATCCGGTTAGGAGATGGTCAGAAAATGCAAGCTTTCAGATGCAGCTCCTAGGACTGGCATCCTAGCCGTGAGAACTGGAACGTGCCATGCCCATGAAAAGGAGCATCGCATAGAGAATATGGGACATATCCGGGACATAGTTGCTGAGGCTAAAATGAAACTGATCTCTAAGTCATAGTGCCTGGGAAAATAACATGAAAATTGAGAAAGAATTTGTGGGTAAAATATAGAATTTGATGTCCGTTCATTGTTGGCGACATACTTGGTTTATTTTTGTCTTATCCATGATTTGTCTAAAATTACTGGAGACTTGAGGGGGTTTGTTGCGTAAATGAACTGGTATTGATGTTATTTGTGTTGCTGCTGCAGCAAGAGTTCAGGAGAGCTGTGGGGCTGCTGGGTAAACCATCTGACCCTGTTTCATGGAAATTTCAGGTCAGCCCATGCCTTCTGCAGGGCAGTGTCTGGCTTAACACGCACCTTGCAGCGTTCTCAGTCCCTTGAGGCTCCCACTTGTCTGTGCAAATGTGGCTGTGTTTCCCCTCATTGTCAACATAGTTGCACAACGATGCATCGTGGGAACTGTGTCACGTGTGAACCAAACGTGGCTTTCAGAGGAGCTTAGATGTGGAAGGTGCTTTTCTTGGAAGCA